GGAACATGGATTTTGGGTTATTTTAAAAAGTGAACTTGGGATTTTTTTTCAGAGATTTTGCAGGTTTTAAATAGAGAACACTGGGATTCCTGCTAGGGAGACCAGTGGCAAGAACCAGGCAGAAGATCCTAGTCAGGGCAGGCATCTAGGACCCAGCTGGAGGTGGCTGACCTCCTAGCCACTTGGGGCCAGAAGGACATGTTTTGACAGTTCAAAGCATGCCACTAAATGGGAACATCTTCCAGGTGATGGCTGCCCAGATGGCCGGGCAGGGGCATACATGGCAGTTTTGCTACATAAAGGCAACTATGCAGCCACAGCCCACTGGCAGTTGGCCCAGAGGGGCAGGTGCTTTTACTGGCCATGCAGTCCCCATCTGGGTCTGGCAGGCACGCAGCCTTGGGGCCACATGCTGTCACAGGTGGTAGCAGGTCACAGCCAGGCAGCAGCCCCCGCTGCCAGACTGCTGCAGTGGGTAGAGTGTGCAGGGAACTCTCAGGGCTGCTTCAGCCGTCCAGCTGATACAAGGGCTAGTGTCCCGAGATACCAATTGGCCAGTTTCCAGAAACTTCTGAGAGTAAGTAGCCCTGAGCTACTTGCCAGGGCAGCTTTTTTATTGATGGGGCCAGCACAGGTGCTAGCCCTAGGCTCTAGCTCCCCCTGGATGCAGATCCGGGAGGAGGCAGGCAGGGTTATTTTGTTCCAAGTGGAACAATTTGTCGCACACCAAAGTGCATGTCAGGGCACGTGTACTGCAGCAAAAAGCCCTGGCTCAAATTTGTACTGCTTCTATTTGAGCTGCTGTAAGTGCACATGCTTGCATGTATAGACATGCCCATGTAGTTCAATATAACATGCTTGATTATGTATGTTTTGTTACTTCCTACAGACCCATGTGAAAAAAAAAAAAAAAAAAAAAAAACCTAAATAATTTGGGGGTTTTTTTCCAAGAATTTTTTTTTTAAATATTGAAAATTTGACAATGCAAAGTCAGAGTTAGCACATTTAATTGACTTGGGTTCTAAGATGAGATACAAAAATTATAGCAACAACCCTGGTTTTGATCTGTGAGGTCCATCCCCTGTGATTTTACTGATTATCACTGAGGTCTTTTTTGCACAGGCAGAGGAGTCCAAGTTAGAAGACCTTAGTGCAAGCCTTAGTTTGGATTTAGGCTTTCAGGGTTCATCTACACAAGCAGTTAATTAAGGCAAAGCAATAAACCCCAGAGCTGTTTGAGCCAGAGTACACTAGTTCTGGGCACAATGTCTACATGTGTGCCTCGGATAGCAGCACTTTGAGCTGGAGTGGAACTGGCCCAAGCTAGCAGCAGGCTCATGATGTTAGGCCCAGGCTCCAGATGGCAGCAGAGGGTGACAGAGGGGCTAGCTGGGGCACTAGGGTGCCAAACATGTGGAGCTATGTGGCCAGGCAGCAGCTAGGAGTCTGGTCCCTGCCTGGTCACTGTCTACATGTGCATTTCAGTGCAGTTTATTATTCTATTGTAAGTACTGTTCCTGACAGTACTATCTTATGGCGGAGTTAATTAGTTTTTTGCACTCTAATACTAGCACGTGTATAGATGGTGATGCCTTACTACAAAGCTAATGAGTAGATACACCTTCAGGGTGCATCAATACATGCTAGAAGCACAGTAGACTAATTATACTGCACATTAGAGCATCAAAGCAAAAGTGCTAATGCGATAATGCACATTAGAATTAGTCTGCTGTGCATTAGTGTCAAGGAAAAGATGTGTGCTAGTGCTACTGTGCAGGTACCACCAATTATGGCACATTAATTTAATACTTATTCTTACAGGTACTAAACTTAGTGTGCTGTAATTACAACACATTAATGCATGTGTATACATGCCCTCAGAGTTCCATTTTAAGCTTGGGTTTCCAGGTACAGGCAACCCCCGCTTAGCGCTCTTAATTAGTTCCTGAAAAAATGAGTGTTAAGCAAAACCAAATTTCACTTTCACTTTTCACTTTCTAAAGCCAACAAAATCAACAGAATCAGGCTGTCAGGATTTGTTCCAGTTCCAGTGCCAGCAGTACGATGCCTGCGAGCATTATAACGAAACTCACTAAACATGAAGTGAAATTGGGTATCTATGTAAAATGAGTGTTATAGCAAAACAGGTTTTGCCTATACTCTAAATCATGAAGCAGATCTCGCTGGAAGCCACCTATCATCAATTGATGTTAAGTCAAAATTGTATCCTCGTGGAAAAATTTTATCAAATACAATAGGTGATACCATTATAGATTCATAGATTGTAAGAATGGAAGGGACCTCGGCAAATCATCGGGTCCAGTCC